AATCAAACTTATGAGCCAGAACAATGTATTATTCCAAAAGGAGTCAGTTTTCATGCATCTAGTCACTTCAAGCTGCGCAATATTAATATCTGCAATATGGTTTGCAAATAGAAGGATGATAGAACAACACTGGGTCAGTAGGAGGGAGGAGGTTTAGGAGGTCATGGACTTCTCAGTTTAGTTCCATAACTCTTTCCTGATTTGGGGAGAAAGTAGCTCTACTTATTTCTGAGCCGGTCCAGCACAAGATGGAGGGAAGTAACCCAATCTCTACTTTTAAGAACATTTGATGTGAGTGCTTTTTATGACAGATAACCCAAGTCCCATGAAAGCCTATTTGTACATGCATGGGAAAACAAACAGACTCAAACTAAAAATGCCCTTTAAGAAAGTTTTGATATAGTTAACTGACTGCATTGAGTTGCAGTTAGGTCTGTATAAAGTGCCAGCTGTTACCTTCATAATTCCTTTGAAACCTTCCAGCGCTCCAGTTATCCCCACGTGACCAGCCATTGTCCCCATCCCTTATTCAGCCTGTCCAGCTTGGTGGCCAAAATCCCAATTGAATTCTCCATGTTGGAAAGGGAATCTGGTACGGCATCCAGTCCAGAGTGTTTGCTTTTTTAAAAAAAGAGTCCTGAGAGGTTTGGACTGAATTTTGGAGCCAGTCTTGTCACAGGAAGTTGGAGCTTGGTTTCATTTCCTCTGAAGCCTGCATCTGATGTTATGTTTGGACACTGTCCACTGCTCTATCTTTGTCTTTCCCTTTGGACACACTCAATCAGTTCACCCAGTGTCAGGTACTGAATCTGGGAATTATGCTAAGCTCAGCCCACGTGATCCAAAATTGGAACCTGGACTGATTTGAACAAAGATAAAAAATAAACCAACCCTCCAACAAAACCCACCCCACCCCAGATGCAGTTTCAAAGCCAGTTTCACACTGGGGTTTATTCCATTTCCCGCCATCGCCTAAATTCTGGCACAGGTTTCTGCCAGGAGGGTCATGTGCCAAGGGAGGAGATTGTTGCAGCAGAAAATTTCTGCAAGCTCCATTCTGCCATGGCTATGGATGGAGCTGTGTTTTAAGGATTAGGTGATGATTCTGAAACTTCACAAACAGCCCTGCGCAGCCCAAACATTCAATGATGTGCTGGCCAGGATAGGACTCCTGCCAATGTAGTTGGAATTTAGTGCCTTTCCTCTCATTTTGTCCAGCAGTCTGAGAGAGACTACCTGTGCCTGAGAGGTGGGATTTAAAGGGACTCCTCATTTAAACCCAAAGATGTCTAATTCAAGTTCCATGTTTAGCTTTATAATAAAACAAAAACACAACACTATGATGTAGCAGAGTGACAGTCTGTGTTGAGGACTGTCATCCCCTATTTTTGTCCTATGTGTTGCGTTTTATTTGTATGTTTTATTTGAATTGCGATGTTCATTTGTGCAAGTGGGATCTAAGAAGCAGGCAGGCAGGCAGGCAGGATAGAAATCTTACAAGCCAAGCAACCAACAAATCCTATTCACATCAGTGGTTGTTGGTGGGTGGACTGGGAGGGTGGAAGGCAGGGAGGTCAATGGAGCCAGAGCCAATAGCAGGCAGAGTTAGAGCCAATGATATCTAATATCAGAACCAGGTAGTTCTGACTTTGCCTTCATCCTCATTCTCTGCTCAGCTCCACAGTGGCAACACTAAGGAAGAGGAAGGCAATAGCCAGCCTGGAGTGGATGTAAGTAAGAACAGCACCAACTACTACATGGTGGTTATGGAGTCAGAAATATTACAGTTCTAAGAAACATCACCAATCCCCCTCCCCCCATTTGAACAGCTTTATTTTATGCTTTTGCTGACAAGTCAAAAATCTGGACTTAAAAAAAAGTAGTTAACTGCCAGATATCCCCATTCTCTTCTGCGCTAATGTTTAATGATGCCATTCTCTAATAATAATGCATTAAGACGCACACTGAAGACAGCCTACTTCATTTTCGCTTTGGTCTGCCTGGAGGACTGCTTGAATCTTACAGATGAAAGGCTAATACTTTTATCCTTTAAACTACTCAGTCAGCCCCTGAAACTAAAGAAAAGGAGAATAATTGGCACTTTGCAGAGTAAGAATAGAACAATGGCACTTCCTTCAGTGCTCAAATGCTATTTTGCATCTGTCTTCATATTCATTTCATTGTATGGACAAATTAAATAATGCTACCTAAAGAATTAAATTGCACTCTCTGTGTGTGTATTCTTTAACGTGTGTTAGGACTGGAATTAATTTTCCAGATGGTCATCACCCTTGCATCCCAAAGCACATGGAGGAAAAACAACTTCATTGACTGGGACCCGTGACTGTGGGTTTGTGGATGAGGAAACTGTCATATCCACTTTGTATCTATTGGTTATAAAGACATCACGGGGCACAGTCCTGGGAATATGCACTACACCAGGCCAGAATATTTGTCCACCTAAGCCAAAATTGTGTACTCTGAGTATGGCGGCAGCTCTCCAGGGCCCCAGGAAGGGATTCTTTTCCCATTTCCTGCAGTCTTTCCCAGATGCATATAAAGCGCTCTGTCACTGAAGCATCAAACTCCCCAATCAATTAAATGCTTCCCTCGCCCAAGACCTACAGAAATGAACGGCACTTGTGCAAGATCAATGCTGTTCATTTCATGGGACTTCTGTGGATTTTCTTCCCAGTAGATTGGGCCCATTGTCATTGAGCAGTGTCCAGAAGAACAACAACTGTGAATGCTTATGTATCTAAAACCCATTTCCTAAAATCAAGCCACACTGTAGAAACATAGCCTGAAACAAGATTATAATTCCAGACAGCTGGATCCTAGGGGTCTGGCTATGTGGAGGCACCCTTCTGAAGGAGCCTGCCTGCTCCCTCATGATAGCCCTGAGGAGACACTCGGCCATTCCGCGCCATCATTCATTCCAAAAGGAGTGGGGCAAATATGCATCCCTCTCAACCACAAGACCCCAGTTAGGGTGCAGCCTTTCTGCAGCCAACAGCTTGGGTTTTTTTTCTAGCACAGAGAAGCTGTCTGTGAAAATGGCACTTGCTTTTATTTTTATTTTTATTCCTCCTTACCCGTTTGCTGCAAACCCCTGAGCATCTGCTGGTTTGTCAATTGCACTTAGTTAAAATGGATTCACTCTTGCTGTGTGAGGGGACCGTTTAGGCGGGCTAGCTAGAGAAAATTAGTTTGACTTCACCAACATTAACTAGCCTGATAGAGCGTAATTATGATATGCCTTGTGACAAGGGAAGTCACCTGGTACAGGAACCTTGGGTGTTGAGGTTCCGCTGTTTACTGCGCTTGGTTTTGAATAGGAAAAGATCAAACTGGTAAAGAAATGTGTCAGTTTTTTGTTTTTAATTTTTTTTATTCAAAATTATAACAAGACATATTATCCAAAAACATGCCATCCTTGTTTGTCCCCCCATTTTTCCTCCCTCCCCCCCTCCCACACAAAACCCACCCACCCCCACCCCACCCCCCGACTTCCCTCAGTTCCAGTCTTTGGTTTCTCTAAGAATGCTGTTTTCTGCATGTTACAAAGTTGTATAGATCCTCAAACTAATTAGCTAATTATATCAATAAAAATTTTGTGAATGTTTATTCAAAACCTGCCAAGGAGTCCAGTTTGCTTTGTTGCGTCTTCAGATGCTTTGTAAAGGGTTCCCTTTCATCCTTAAAGTCACAGTTATCCTTGTCCCGTAGCTTATATGTCAGTTTTGCCAGTTCTGCATAGTCCATCAATTTTTCTTGCCATGATTCTTTAGTTGGGGTTTCTTCAGTCTTCCATCCTTGTGCTACCAGAACTCTCGCGGCCGTTCTCGCATACATGAAGATGTTTTTCAATTTTTTGGGCAGGTCTTTCCCTACAACCCCCAACAAAAATGTCTTGGGTTTTTACCCTCCGGAGCAGGAGAAGACAAGCTTGTTCCATCTTCCATGTGACAGTCCTTGAGATATTTGAAAATAGCTCTCCTATCGTCTCTTACTATCCTCTTTTCCAGGCTAAACATACCCAGCTCCTTCAACCATTCCTAATAAGGCTTGGTTTCCATATCCTTTATCACCTTGGTTGGCCTTTGTTGCACATGTTCCAGCTTATCAACATTCTTCTTCAACTGTGGTGCCCAGAACTGGACACAGTATTCCATGTGTGGTCCGACCAAGGCAGAATAGAGTGGTGTTCTTACTTCCCTTGATCTGAACACTATACTTCTGTTGATGTCTTCTGTCCTCACTTGTTTTCCCCCAACACCTGGTATTCTGAGGAACACTCCCCCTGACCATGGAGGCTTCATTCAATGATGAAAGAAATAGCCATTTATTATGAATTTGCCATGTGGATTTCTGGCTACTGCAATTCACCATGCATGATGCCCTATGGTATTGATTTCCAAAAGTTAATTATGCAGTGCTATGCAGGTGGTGCTGTGGGTTAAACCACAGAGCCTAGGACTTGCCGATCAGAAGGTCAGCGGTTTGAATCCCCGCAACGGGGTGAGCTCCCATTGCTCGGTCCCTGCTCCTGGCAACCTAGCAGTTTGAAAGCACGTCAAAGTGCAAGTAGATAAATAGGTACCGCTCAGGCGGGAAGGTAAATGGCATTTCTGTGAGCTGCTCTGGTTCGCCAGAAGCAGCTTAGTCATGCTGGCCACATGACCGGGAAGCTGTACACCTACCGGCTCCCTCAGCACTGCAACCCCAAAGTCGGCCACGACTGGACCTAGTGGTCAGGGGTCCCTTTACTTTTACCTATGCTCCCCACCATCATCTGAAGTGGCACCACTGACATTTGGTTCCCAAGAAATTAGAGAACCCCAGCTTCTAGTTTACATTTTAACTGCTTTGGGATTATCGGGACATAGGAAGCTGGCTTATACTGGCTCAGTCCATTGGTCTATCTAGTTCAGTAATGTCAACACTGACTGGCAGCAGCTCACCAACCTTTCAGGCAGGGAATCTTTGCCAGCTCTACCTGGACATCCTGGGAATTGAACCTGGAACCTTCTGCATACAAGCCAGGTGCTGTACCACTGAGCTACAAGCCTACCCAGATGTTTTTCTTGTTCCTTATTCCTTTTCTCCAAAATTTATGTGCCAGAAAACTGCCCCAGGGAGCAATGAGTTACTGGCAAACTGTTCAAACTGATTTACAGAATTTTGCCAGGTAAATCAAACAGATATATCAAACAGATAGAGAATTACTGAGTGTTTTTTCTTTTCTTTCCTATTTATGCTTTCCCCCTCTTTTAAATTAAAGATGGGGAGGGGGGGAAGAGTGGTTAGGTAGCTGGCCTTTAAGCCTCCAATTAATTGAACAAAGATTTTAAAATTGTTCAATTGGTTTCATTAGGAAGTGTATAATAGAATAATAAAGTAAAACAAATGATATAAAGCAGACCCACTAATTAGCTCTACATGATTGATACAGCTTTGGTCTAGGCATTTGATCTCGAACAAAATGCAGTTCCTTGTTAAGAGGATTTTTAATTGATGTGCAAAGAGGTATTAGATGATGTTGGAAAATAATTACTCAAAAGCTATTCATGCATTTGGCTGAACATAACAAATGAAGTTTGGGCACAGGATTTGGCGGAGTGGACACGTACTAATTAATAATGAGAAGAACAAGCATCTTCCAGTAGTTTTTAACCCAGTCTTTGCTAGGAGAATGCCTAGCAATTATGCACCATAATGAGGTTGTCATCTAAACAAAATCAACATTACTTAGATGTCAGGTGACATTGCTAAAGCTGGAACCTATGGAAGATGCTCTCTTCTCTTTGCAGATGGCTATGTGGTATTAATCATCAAAAATGTTTCTAGTCCCCCAGCTGTCATTAAAATGCTGGTTGAAGGGACGGCACTGCCACTTTGCTCGATTTCAGATGGTGAAAATGATGCTATCCTGGCAGCAGAGGAGGTTTTGAAGATCCTGAGATACATGCAGTGGAAAAAACATCATTATCCAAGCCCCTGTTACCTTCAGTTCTGTGAACCGCCCTGAGATCTTTGGATGAAGTGAGGTATACAAATTTAATAAATCAATTTGCCCTAACCTAGACAGCATCTTAAAAAGTAGAGACATCACCTTGCCAACAAAGGTCCGTATAGTAAAAGCTTTGGTTTTCCCAGTAGTGATGTATGGAAGTGAGAGCTGGACCATAAAGAAGGCTGATCGCCAAAGAATTGATGCTTTTGAATTATGGTGCTGGAGGAGACTCTTGAGAGTCCCATGGACTGCAAGAAGATCAAACCTATCCTTTCTTAAGGAAATCAGCCCTGAGTGCTCACTGGAAGGACAGATCCTGAAGCTGAGGCTCCAATACTTTGGCCACCTCATGAGAAGAGAAGACTCCTTGGAAAAGACCCTGATGTTGGGAAAGATTGAGGGCCCAAGGAGAAGGGGACGACAGAGGACAAGATGGTTGGACAGTGTTCTCGAAGCTACCAGCATGAGTTTGACCAAACTGCAGGAGGCAGTGGAAGACAGGAGTGCCTGGCGTGCTCTGGTCCATGGGATGACGAAGAGTCGGACACGACTAAACAACTAAACAACAACAACAAAAACTGTGCCCTTTGGCTGTCCCTTAGTGCAGACCCTGGTCTTTGAGCCTGAGCTTCCACAGCCGCAAGCCTCCATGAACCACCATGGGCAACAACAGCAGCAGATACGTTCCATGGTTATGATCACATCTTATTCTCTTGTTAATCAATGCTGTTTTAAATGTGCATTTTATATTTGACTTCTTTTAGTAATGTTTTCTTCTGAAATGTTTTAAGATAAAAATATTAACTTTGTTCCACTGAATGGGCAGTTGACCCCCTTTGTAACGTTTTATTTTGAAATCTTTAAGATAATATTTTGGTTTTCTGTTAATTGCGTTGCTTTATATTTGACTTCAGTAATGTTTTATTCAATAACGTTTTAAGGTGTTGAGATTTCCCCCCTCAAAAATATAAAGTGATATAGAAATAATAATAATAATAATAATAATAATAATAATAATTATAAATTTGCACCCGTGTTCATTGGCACCTGTGGTGGTCCCATCCAGAATTGCTGTCGTTGTTCTGGTTCCCTTTTCCTAAAATGAATTATAGTTCCCACTAATGGAAAATTAATTTAACAGTACATCATTTCAGCTATACAGAAATGTTTTTACAAGCATTATTATTATTTTAAAACATTTATATACTACTTAATCGTTTGCATTTTTAAGGAGAGTACATAAAAACATTCCATGGAAAATGGGACAATAAAACAAAAGAATTATCATAAAACTGAAACTACCTTAAAATGCCTGATACAATAAGAAAGTCTTAGTCATGTGCCTGAAGCTCAGCAAGGAGGGTGCCTTTCTAATCTCAAGTAGCAGGGAGTTCCACAGGTTTGGGCCCACTACACTGGATGCATGGCTTCTAGTAGTTAGCAAACCATACATCTGACGATCAACAGAAGCTCTCCCCAATATCTCACTGATCATGCTGGGATATGAAGGATCAGATGGGCCTTAAGATATTCTATACTTTTGTTGTTAATTCAATAACTCCACGCTGCAACATTTTGGTACAGATCCCACTTGTGCTTGTGCGTTTGGTGAAATGAAAAAAATGTTGAAATATACATTTATAAAGAAACCAGAAGCATTTCTCTTGGGTATTGTTGGAAACGATATAAATAGAAAGGAATGTAAGCTTTTTCTATATGCAGTAACAGCAGCAAGAATACTATTGGCCCAAAAATGGAAGCAAGAAGAATTACCAACGATGGAAGAATGGAGGATGAAATTAATGGACCATGCGGAACTTGACAAACTAATGGGAAGGATCCAAAACCGGCGGGACCAGAAGTTTACTGAGGACTGGAGTAAATTTACGGATTATTTGAAAAGTATTTGTGACAACCAGACGACGTTTGTAGGTTTGCAAGAAGTTCTGTGAGGAATAATATTAGAAATATTGCAAAAATGGAGAAGGAGACGTGATATGTTAAGAATGTAAAGGCAATACTAAATTAGGAAATGCATAAGAAGTGATTAAGACAGAGGATTATCAGAGGTGCTGATGGAAGTCCAATAAGAATGTATTTGTGATAAATTGTGTGGTATGTTTTATAATTTTGTATGTTAAAAACCAATAAAAATATTTTAAAAAAAAAATATTTTCAAAAGGTTGGGGGGGTAGATTTTAAAAATGACAATACAGAATTGTATAACCTTGATGGATTACTTCCTTAATGTATTTGTACCAAATTCCCGCTTGCCACCTCCTCCTCTCTTTTTGTATACATCTGCTCTTAAACAATAGATCTGAAAAAAATAATTCTTGATTATATTAATAGCCAGTTCCAATAGTGTAAATGGTAAAGGCAAGGTACTCCATATATATATATATATATATATATATATATATATATATATATATATTAGCATGCCAATCACTATGGAAACTCACAAGCATTTACAGAGCTGGAACACTGATTAATACCTGCTGATTATTTTGACATTATAATGCTCCGATTTAAATGTAAAGAACTTCTTCATACAGCAAACTGTAATTTGCCCGAATGAAAAACTGAATTTTCCATCCAGAGCAAAAACTGGGCCCACTTTACAGTGGTGCCTCGCAAGACGAAATTAATTCGTTCCGCGAGTTTTTTTGTCTAGCGAATTTTTCGTCTTGCGAAGCACGAAATCCCATAGGAATGCATTGAAATTCAATTAATGCTTTCCTATGGTCAAAAAAAGTCCAAACAAAGCCAAATTTGGTACAACAAGAGTTTATTAAGTGCTCTTTAAAGTCACACCCACCACACAGAAATTCAAATCCAGAATTTTTTTAAAAAAACAGCAGAGTGGCCCAATGGTCACAGAAAATCATAAAAATGCAGAAAAAACACACACAAGCTTCCAGATTCTTGCAAACCCCTCCCCAACACCAAGTCCTTGAATTCCAAACACCCCAACCCAAAATCCAAAACCCCCAAATAAAGTTTTAAAATTTTAACTTACCAAATGGCTGCAAAAGAAGTTTTGGAAAAGCTTCAAAAATCACCAAAGTCTTCAAAAACCTCAAAAAAGGCTATCACACCGCATTCTATGAGTTGCTCCTCGAAGTCAAGTCGCAACTGTATTAACGGTGTTAAGAAAAAGGAAACAAACTTGCAAGACGTTTTCGTCTTGCGAAGCAAGCCCATAGGGAAATTCGTCTTGTGAAGCAGCTCAAAAAACGCAAAACCCTTTCGTCTAGCGAGTTTTTCGTCTTGCGAGGCATTCGTCTTGCGGGGCACCACTGTATTAGCATACGGCTGAAATGCAAGACATGGCTTCACATTGACAAACAACTAAAACTGGATTTCATATATGCATCGTATGCATCCATACTCAGTTTTAAGAAAACAGCTGAATAAGATTCCTTCATTGCCTTCCCTTCCCTTCGAATTCTGTTGATTCACATTTGTTCTAGAATGATGAAGGGTGCAGAATTGTGGCTCTGGTAATATATATCACTGCTGAGTCCTCAGTGTTTAGCAAAGACGACCCAATATATGCTTCAAAAAATTAAAAGTAAACACCAATTGCCTCCATCCCCAGAAAGAACTTGGGTGTGGAAAAATGCAATCTTTAAGGATGTATTCACTTAGCATCTAGGATGAGATTCCTGCATTCCCAGGGGTTGGACTAAATGACCTTCGAGCCCCTTCCAAGTCTACAGTTCTATGATTCCATGAAAAGTAATTTCCACAGAGTCCAATGAAACTTACCCACAGTTACAGAATTATTGATAACAATTTAAGGAGAGGATTGAGAAATTTTGTTCAGGTCAACAAAATTCGTTTTTCTTTCTTTCACAAGTTTTATATACCGCTGGATTGTAGTTTAAAAAAAGATTGATTCCTCCATCCTTAATCAGTAAGCAGATAATCACCTGTACCAAATGTCTCAAATGGAAATTCTATATACCTGTCAAAGTTGGGCCTGTGATGACCATTGTTTTGCCTTGATAAAATGACCACACCTGTTTTCTGCATCTGGTTCTCCACCTG